TTTCTCCATTTTTCATACTTTTCAGATTGCAAAGGAATCCTGCATTAAAAAATAATGTTTAAAGTCAGAAAGGAGAGCATTACTTCAGAGCAGGATGGCTGTCTGGAGCGTAGAATTGGTTCCTCATACACTTTTCTATAAGCCGTTGTCGAACCAAGAATTCCTGAGTTAACAAACTCTATAATGGCGTAGAACTCCTGCAGGTCGTTTTGTACTGGCGTCCCTTCAAAATCAAAACCATTCATCATTGATATGGTTGCCAGTTGTTTTTAAACCAAAAAAAAAAAAAATTACTTAAATGCGTCTTTACCTGTGAGTATGACTCTGCGGTTACAGCTGAGGCTGCTGAGGGCGGAGGATGTTTTGATGCTGCTGTTCTTCAGTCTGTGACCCTCGTCGCAAATGATGAGCCCAAACTCCACTTTCTGAATCTGAACAAAAAAAAAAAAAAGGAGAGAGAGAGTTAAAGGAGCCTGGTTCTGCTGGCAGTTTTCTTCCAATTAAAAGGTACTTGTTCCTCTCCACTATCGCTACAAGCATGTTTGGTGTTTTATTCAGCAGATAAAACAGGAAAATTGTGTTCGATTTAGACAAATATGGCAGCTTAGGTGTTTCATTAAACTTTTGAGCCAAGAGGCATTAAGCACCCTGACTGCCCAAAAAGCTGGCCATGCAATGCAGCATACACCCCACACCTCATTGCAACCACCTTAGGGCATCCATCCCTGTAATGGAGAAGATCAATGGTGGCCTCAAATATTTGTGAGTGGATTTTGTACCATTATGCAATGTACAAACAGATTTATTGTGTTGTGAACAGGTTCGAGCTTATAAGATGTATATTGAAGCTGTGCGATGACCTCACAGTACCTGCTCCAAGCCGCGCAGCAGCATTTCGTAGCTGATCACGAGAACACTATGTAGAGGAGATAACAGAAACTCCTCTATCCTGTGGTCCTAAACAGATGACAATGACTGTTAATTATTCAGCTCATGTGAGCCAAGAGGGAAATAATAGATGTTAATTAAAGAAGTTTACTGAGGCAGCTCAGTTAGCTCTAATAGGACAAGTCATTAAAATTTATAAATACTAATTAAGAAAAAACAACTAACAATGGTTACTTTGCTGTCATGTGTTTGGATAAAAAAATAAAGTCCACACCTGATCCACGGTGAAGATGCTGATCCTTTCCCGGCCGAGCCACTTGTTAAACTCCGCTCTCCAGTTCTGCACCAGGCTGCCAGGAGTGACCACGAGGACCCGCTTCACAATCGGTTTACCGCCGTAAGGGCCTTGCTTCAGCAACGTCCAGCACAGCGCCACACTCTGCAGAGTCTTCCCAAGACCCATCTCATCAGCCAGGATGGCGCCGTGGCGACCTGCAGCTCTGAAGCACATGATCCTGTAAAGATCCTGATGAAGGCAATGGTTGCAGGTTTAACAGAGACTTTCTACAGTAGTGACTTAAGGAACATCCTTCCTACCTCATGCCCATAACACACTCATAGAGGAAGAGGATGCCCTCCCTCTGGTGGGGTCGCAGGTGCGTGGTCAGGTGTGGGTCAACCACCACATCAACCACAGGAAGGCCTGACTTGTTGTGAAGCCACTGGTGGTTAGAAGAGGGGCGAGGCATCACCAGCGCACCTGTTGGAATATGTTTTTTAAAAGAGAATCCCAAACGCCGCTGATTAATATTTACCCACCTCAGCATGCTGAGTGCTGGAAGTTGCTATCATCTCAATTTGGACAGTAATTATTTGGAGACTGGGGCACTAAGAGAGCAAGTCTCTATTAGTGCATTAGAATAGAATAAAAGAATAGAAATTGAATGTACTGTTCCACAGTGTGGGAAATTCTCATGTTTTATGGAGTGAGTTTTGTTTCATTATTCTTACAAGAAAAGAACACGTTTGGATTTGATTTTAAAAAATGCAATCAAGCAATGGGACTTCATAGTCCAAAACGTTTGGGGGATTTTTTGACCAAAAATTGTTTCCAGATCAAATTTTCTTCACTCCTAGGAGGTTTTGGTCTAGATTGAGGTGCGAGGACATATTGGTCTGTGTTGATGTTAGGAACAACATTTTAATCGGTCAAGAACAAGAGGTTTTTTTTGAAGTGGCTTGAAGGCTTGAAGTGAAGACACTTGCTGCGTTGTCATTACAAATGAGAGCAAAACTATCTCGATATTCTGCTACTTTTGAACATGCAAACTTCACAATTGCAGTATTTCTATTGCTTAACAAATACAATAGAAGTCGCACATGAATATGTTTGTCCACCTCATAGCTCTGAAAATAACATGGCAGCTATAAATACATAAGATATATGAATATTACAGCTGTATTGGACGGTATCATCCTCCAACGTCCGGTCTTCTTCCTCTTTTTGCACGGCATAAGGTCCAGTAGCAGATCACATGACTCGTGTGATGCGAAATAAGTGTTTTCATTGCAGTTTTGTGAAATATAAGAATTTTGATATGACCAAAAAAAAAAACCACCCCATCGAAGCATAAAAACTTCTCCAAAAAAGTTTATTTTTATTGAAATTGAAGTGCTTCCATTTCATTCTTATAATCACAATTTAATGGTTATCGGAAACTTACCAACTCTGATCTGTAAAACCCAATTTGAAAGAAAAATGCCAATTGCAAAAATCCATCTGGAGAGGAGAAATTTAAACAAAAAAAGAAAATGTAACATTTGTAAGTATGAAAAAAATATATTTATAAAACTAAATATGGAATTGCTTTAAGAAAGCAGCAAAGTTGATCTCAAAACCATTTTTTGATTAAGACATTTTCATTTTGAGTTTGTATCTCCCTATGCCCTGCCCCAAATTTCCATTTAAGAAATTTCTTCTACGCTTGCAGCAATAATGGAACCAAATCCACTCTGTGGGATAGCAGCAGCAAAACAAATAGGCATAGAAAAGCATGCATGTACACACAGGACTACAAAATATCAAAAACGAGCACACAAAAAAAGTAACATTTATAATCAGATTATGACCAAGTATGAAAAAACATATATAGCATACATTTTTAAACTTTCTGCATTAGGCCTACATACCTGGAGCTAAGGGGTCATATCGAGGTTTGCTGGTTTGTTCCCCTTGTGGTTTATTATTTTCTGGAAGCCCTGATCTCCCCAACATTGACGGGAGGCAGAAGCGTTTGGAGTTAAAGCTGCGAGAGGGAGGCGGGAGAGCCTTTGTGTGCGACTCTGCTTGATCTGTCTGAACCTCCTGGAAACAGCGTCCTTTGGCAAAGTCCTCAGCGGAAATGATGCCCATCACCTCTATCTCCTTCCCTCCAATCATCAACGTCTCTCCCTCAGACAGTGAGGCCAGCTCTGACACCTTGTAGCCACTACCTGTTGGACAAACATGCTGTGAAGATTACCTTCCCTAACAGGCCAGCAGACTCTCCTTTTAATGTAACTTTTTTATATCATATACAAAGAGGGATCTAAAGTTTGCTTTATATCATATAAGAGTAACTCACTAATTTCCAAGTGTGTTCTCTCTTTTTAATACAATGAAGGAAAACAAAATAACAGCATGATATTAAGGCTCACCCTTCCCAATATCCTTCCCCTCCATGTCTTTGAGTACAACAGAACGCCCTCTCACAACCAGAACGGCGTCACCTTCCCAGCGCTTGTGTTTCTTCTTACTGGCTTTACACCAGACCACACTAAAGTAACAGGCCCCGTCAAGTGCACAGCCAGAGTCTGCAGGATCTGAAGGAGGTTGAGGGGTTTGAGGAGACCCATGAGTCCAAGGAGGGCTTCCATTTAGTCCTAAAAGAAAAAGACACAAGATTTAAAAAAAAATAAAAAATGTGGCTAAAATCCAAAATAAAATGTAAGCAACTAAGCCAACCAACAGAGGGCACTCTTACATTAAATCTTGAGCTTCAAAGATGGCTAAATCTTTACTGCTTACATGTACTGCAGAAATATTTTACACATTATTTGATGAGGCAGGCAGTTATTTATCATCAGATGGTTATGTTTATCTCTTTAAAAATAACGATTCATTAGTTATTTAACAATAAAAGGAATGACCAGTGAAGAGATCAATGCCCTTTAATTAAAACAACCAATGAACATGAGGACAAACTTCAATGCAAACATTACAAGACAACCAGCAACAAATTCACATTAAAGTGGAACATATATAAAAACACACTTATCCGTTTTCTAAAAAAACAAAAAAACAGCCGTTATCTCAGACTGTTGTTTTTTCTTTAACTTATTTTAATATCAGACCATGTTAAGGCTTTTCCAAGTGTATCTTACGAAACAATTATAATAAAAAAAATACATTTTTTCAAAGCAATACAAGTTTTCCAAGTAGCTACAAAATAAGCCCCTTTTATGTTCCTTCATATTTTGCTCAAACGCCACATGAACAGGGCCTGTCATTTTCTTTATTTCCAACTAATATTAGTACAGATGGTTTTACTACTAGCACTTATATTCTTACTGCAATCCTAACCTTGGATAATAAAAACTGAACACTATCCATAGAAAAACCAAAAAAGCTACATTTCAGTTGCAGAGGAAGAAATACTTTTCCCCTTCATGCAATCACAGCGTGAAAGATATCAAGTCTTGTCGCCACGTTTACAGGTTAACAATAACGGCGTTTGAACACTGATGAGCATCACTGGTAAACTGGTGGCTGATTAACCTGCTAGGGTAGAAGGAGAACCAGGGGTTGTGGGAATGTATGAGGCACTACGTTTCCAAAACGCCTTCAAGCTTTCATCGAAAGTATTCAAACCCTGCCGCACACATTCAGCATCTGGCTAAAACATTTAGACTAAAATAACTTTTTTTTTTTTTTTTTTTACATTTAGTCATGTTACATCCTCTAGGTTAAGTGTATTTTAAGGGAAGGTTAAACAACGTGAAACTGAGTGGATTGGCGACTATCAGAGTAAAGATTCAATTTAAACATACGTTGAAGTTTTGATCATGTTTTGTTTTTTAATACTACTTTGTGTTAATCCCATAATGTCACAATAAAATCCAGTGAAGATTATAGAACTGGGGAGGAAGGGGGGGGTTCAAAGGGTGTGAACATATTTCCAAAGCTCAATGAGTGCATGTAGCTTCTTGTTATAGAGGAATTGGCAGCCCGTGTCTCAGTCGGGCAGCTTTTAGTTTCTCCACCTTGATTTTGGCTCTTAAAAGCTCCTCCTCCAGCTCCTGCTTCCTCTTCAGACCTTCTCTCTTCTCCTCTAGGTACAGAGCAACCTTCCTGTGATTGGCCAACACCAGCTCGTGCTCCTCTTTGGCCAGGTGCAGAGGGCGAAACCTATCCGCCTCGTGGCGAGGGTAGACGTCGTTAGCGTAGAAGTCCTGGCTCAAGGGCATCGGCGAGGCAGAGAGCGCAATGTTAACAGAGGAAGAAGTGGGAGACAGGGATGCCTCGTAATTGTGGGTGCTTGCCAGGTCCTGCTCCGTCTCTTGCTCTTGAAATCCATCCAACAATGGACCCGAGTGCGGGGTGACGACGGGGAGGTCCGGCGGGGGTTTCACATCCTCTTCAGGGTCGAGCTGGACCACCTCATGCGTAATACTTGGTACAGGTGCTGAATAATCCTGGAGTCCAGCCAGAGAGGAGCTGCTGCCAGGATGCTCAACAGAAGTGTGCTTGTTATATATCAACCTACAAACAGATACAAAAAGGTATCAGAGAGATAAAAGAGAAATTTGATGGATTCATGTAGGGTTGATATATTGTTAAAGTGAGATGACATTTAGTAACAATCTTCATGTGTTTGTGCATGTCAGAGAGGAACAGGCTTATTCAAAATGTCTAAAAACATTAAAAGCTTCAGTTTAGCATCCAGTAATAAAGGAAACATCATTTTTATGTTTTGTTATTGTGCTTGATCGATTTTCTGAAATATCTGTGCAATGACAGAGCTAATAAATTAGACATAAAGATAATAAAATAAAAACAGTTAACATGTTCTAAAGTCTGTATCAGTCATAAGCTCCTTGTTGACAAGATTTGTTTTAATTAGTGCAGTGTTATTGATCTTATTGTTAAACTGAGCATTTTCCAGGTCATATGAGATCAAACATTATTACATATCTTGCTGAGGAACATGTTAAATGAGAAAATTACTAAAAATAAAAAAGTTAAGGTGATTAATTGATGTGTTACAAAGTTTTTTTTAAAGTAATGGATGGAAGTATACGGGTTTATCTCTCAGAAAGTGTTTTTTAAAGCCCTCAGGTTAAAGTTTCACAGTACCTGCGCAGTGCCTGGTCCTTTTCATGGATGGGCACATGGTGAAACAAGTGAGGGATCATCTCCATAATCCTCCTGGTCGGCTCAGAGATGCTCCCTCTATACTCGGGCTGGGCGTGTCTCCGCTGCATCACTTCCTGCTTGGCTGACTCCTTCAGCCTCTTGTAGAGGGTCCTGAGGCCCTGGGCGGTGCGGAGGGGTCTGTCCCCTCCCAAAGCATTGTACTGCTCAGCCACGTTGTCCCAGCACTTGTTCTTGTCCACGATGACGGCGTGCTTGTTGGTGTGCTCCTCCAGGATGCGGATGTGAGGCCGGACCAGCTTTAACAGGTCCAGCTTCTCAGAGAGGGTGAAGTTGGAAGAGCGAGCTTTACCCACCATGCTGGATATGAACACGGAGTTGGAGGCCATCTTACAGCATAGCAGACTGAGATGGACCAAATCTGGCCTTTAGAAAAAAAAATGTCTTCCCTCTTTTTGAGACCAACCTCAGAACTGTGGCTCCCCACTCTGCTGGACTTGTCCTTTCCCCCTTGGTCCCCCAAACACACCCTGGCCTAACACTCATTCATGTCTCAATTCCCTTCTCTTCTGCTTAAAGAAAAAAAGAATTAACCCTAAGCTTTTGCCTAACAAGGGCATGGATTCACAATCTGGTCCTGGGTTCTCTCTCACAGCTACGTTGCACAATAAAAACTGGCTCTGCTTCTCACAATAAGAATCAGGCTTAACTAGGCCAGCCTCATTTAGGCCCCCGCCTACCAGCAGAGGGCTTTGGATGAATTCCTCTCAGCTTAGGCTGACGTAGTTAAGCCGCTTAAGCCCAGCCCGACCTACTTTCAGCTCGGTCTGTGTAAACCCCAAACCAAGCACAGCAGCAGGAGGCAGCTCATTGGGCTGCTTTAGATGGAGAGGACAGCAGCTGTAGGGGGGTTTCCCTCATAGACAGAGAGGCGCGTTTTAAACGCAGCATTTAGAGGCCGCTCCGGGGCTAGGTGCTGTTGTTTTTTTTTAACCAAGGATAGGGAAGATTTAGAATAGTGCTGGCTTAACTACGCGAGAGGAGGGGGGAGGGGTGATAATAATCTGCGCATGCGCGGAGAGGCAGCGCGCCAGCACGCTCACATCCACCATCACACCTGTTTAAGCACGTGCCCGGTGCGCGTGCATCAGTCCGAGTCAGCCACGAGCGTTTTTTTTATTTTATTTTTTTATTCTCTAGCGGCGGAGAAGCTCCAAGCATTACAAACAAAAACCAAAACGGTCATAATCTGAGCCAATCGGTGATAAATGCCAGAACCGAACCAGGCAAAAACCTTTACAGCTTCAGACTGTGTCATAATAAAGACGATCAGATTAAAACGAGGCAGAGCTGAAGCTGAAGAGAGGCTTATAGACACACAGACTGCTCCAAGTTTATATCCAATCATTTCTCAGGGATAGATTAGAAAATATAATTTTGCCTACAACAGGTGAACAGGTATGATTTGCAAATATCTAATCTTGCTGTTGGTCAGTTAGTTGTATGAAATGGCTAACTAATGTAACACAGTATTATAAAAACAGAACATCAAAACATCTCTACATGGACCTAAAACCTTGATATAATCTAAAAGGCAGTTGATCAATCAATCAAAGTTTATTATTTGTGTTAGATAGGAGGTATTCAACAGGGGGTCCACAGAGGTACTGCATGGTGATCATGAAAGTTTTGGTTGATTAGACTTTTTTTATATATATATATATATATATATATATATATATATATATATATATATATATATATATATATATTCTCTCCTGCAATTTTTTACACTAATTGAAATGTTTTTAAATACACATTAACATGAATTCAACACACTGTAGTAAACAGATAAATGGAGGCAGAAGAAGTCTTTCAGTCATCAATACACACATTCAGGAGCTCTTTCAAGCTGGGCACCGTTTCATTTACAACACCTGTCCCAGCAAGGAGGAATCGGAATCAGAAATACTTGAATAATCCCAGGGCGAAATTACTTTTGTTACATTACTCCATCTGTAATGGAGTGACACAATTTCATAGAATATATATAAAATTAGGGAATCCCCACTCCATCTCGCCATGAGTTAGATCATTGCCCTTTATTCTTCTTTTACCCACCTGGGGTCAAATTTTACCCCCGCCTTTCATTTCAACATTACAGGTGCTGGTCGTAAAATTAGAATATCATGAAAAAGTAGATTGATTTCAGTAATTCCATTTAAAAAGTGAAACTTGTATATTATATTCATACATTACATACAAACTCATATATTTCAGATGTTTATTTTGTTTAATTTTGATGATTACAAATGACAACAAATGAAAATCTCAAATTCATCATATCAGAAAATTAGAATATTACTGAAGACCAATAAAAACAAAGGATTTATAGAAATGTTGGCCAACTGAAAAGTATGAACAGGAAAAGTATGAGCATGTACAGCACTCAGTATTTAGTTGGGCCTCCTTTGGCCTGTATTACTGCAGCAATGCGGCGTGGCATGGAGTCGATCAGTCTGTGGCACTGCTCAGGTGTTATGATAGCCCAGGTTGCTCTAATAGTGGCTTTTAGCTCTTCTGAATTGTTGGGTCTGGTGTATTGCATCTTCTTCTTCACAATACCCCATAGATTTTCTATGGGGTTAAGGTCAGGAGAGTTTGCTGGCCAATTAAGAACAGGGATACCATGGTCCTTCAACCAGGTACTGGTAGCTTTGGCACTGTGTGCAGGTGCCAAGTCCTGTTGGAAAATGAAATCTGCATCTCCAAAAAGTTGGTCAGCTGCAGGAAGCATGAAGTGCTCTAAAACTTCCTGGTATGTGGCTGCGTTGACCCTGGACCTCAGAAAACACAATGGACCAACACCAGCAGATGACATGGCACCCCAAACCATCACTGACTGTGGAAACTTTACACTGGACTTCAAGCAACGTGGATGAAGTGCCTCTCTTCTTTTCCTCCAGACTCTGGGACCTTGATTTCCAAAGGAAATGCAAAATTTACTTTCATCAGAGAACATGACTTTGGACCACTCACCAGCAGTCCAGTCCTGTTTCTCTTTAGCACAGGCAAGAAGCTTCTGACGCTGTCTGTGGTTCAAGAGTGGCTTGACACAAGGAATGCGACAGCAGAAACCCATGTCTTTCATACGTCTGTGTGTGGTGGTTCTTGAAGCACTCACTCCAGCTGCAGTCCACTCTTTGTGAATCTCCCCCACATTTTTGAATGGGTTTTGTTTCACAATCCTCTCCAGGGTGCGGTTATCTCTCTTGCTTGTACACTTTTTTCGACCACATCTTTTCCTTCCCTTCGCCTCTCTATTAATGTGCTTGGACACTGAGCTCTGTGAACAGCCAGCCTCTTTAGCGATGACCTTTTGTGTCTTGCCCTCCTTGTGCAAGGCGTCGATGGTCGTCTTTTGGACAACTGTCAAGTCAGCAGTCTTCCCCATGATTGTGTAGCCTATAGAACTAGACTGAAAGACCATTTAAAGGCTTTTGCAGGTGGTTTGAGTTAATTAGCTGATTAGAGTGTGGCACCAGGGGCCATCAATTTTGAACCTTTTCACAATATTCTAATTTTCTGATATGATGAATTTGAGATTTTCATTTGTTGTCATTTGTAATCATCAAAATTAAACAAAATAAACATCTGAAATATATGAGTTTGTATGTAATGTATGAATATAATATACAAGTTTCACTTTTTAAATGGAATTACTGAAATCAATCTACTTTTTCATGATATTCTAATTTTATGACCAGCACCTGTACATTTAACAATTCTCTAAGACAGCTTTATTTCACACATTGTGAATGTCAAAACTGTACAGTTAGTAGTTTTTACCCTCTTTTTTCACAGACTTATCTGGGTCTGGAAAATACTTGTGCAGAGTGCATAGGAACAAATGTTATAATTTACAATCGAATAGGTCCAACGTACTTCTATATGGCAGATTTTCATTAATAAAGATTTCCTTAAAGGTTATATTAGCAATCAAATGTCAACACATAACATAAAGCATTGTAATGGTGAACCTTCATCATAAGCATTCAGGGTGTAATATGTTTCTAGTCTCTAAGTAAAATGGATTAGTAGTTAAAAGTTAATTCCTTCAACATAACCTGATTGTTTAAAAACCAACATCGTTTTTATTTTTGTAACACCTAAATGTGTATCTGCTATTCTGCTCTGTTCTTTTACTTTTGACTTAGACAACTTCTATTGTCATCAAAGAAAATGAAATTTCGTTAAGTGCAACTTTCATGACATTTCCATTTCTTAAAGCAGTGATCAAATGTAAACAGTGGGGGAGAAAAAACATGGTGCAAAAATACACATTTATATGGAAGTTCAGAGAATTATATATATATATGGTGCAATTATGCAGTGTTTTGTTTTGGTGTTGTCAGAGTCATGCAGAGTCTTTGACATGATTTACAGTTTTCTCAACAGTTCAGCTATCTGACGGCGGTGGGGAAGAAACTGTTTTGGAATCCGCTGGACCTGCATTGAATGCTGTAAAGCCTCTTCCCAAAGGGCAACAGGGAGAACAGTCATGATGAGGGGTCATCCATAAAATTATGAACACTGGGATGAAATGTCTTTTATGGAGGGATGAGGAGCCCCAATGATCTTCTCTGCTGTTCTCACCAGTTAGTTTTAGTTAGTTTTTACCCAAAACAGAAAACAATCAAGGGACTCCTGCTGTTCTGTCTTATCACTAATTATAAGGCTGCACTTTAAGCAGAGATTTCATACCCTAACACTCAAGTTTCCTCCTCCAGGGTGATTTTATTTAACCCACAGGTTTGATATCAGATCATCTCTTCAGAAAAGCCAATGTTGCCTCATTTCCGCCACCTGGTGGATCATGTCTGAAATGCCACCCCAAGTCCACAGCATTTAACAAGATCTTAATATCACCTTGATGGACTATTGAAAAAGGGGAAATTCAATGTTTCCTCACATTTTGTTTTTCAAAAATGTTTGTGATACCCTTCAGCAATAAGTTATTAAATAATCTAAACTAAAAGATCAATAAAGAAACAAAAGGAAATAAAAAAAAGAAAAGAATAAACCTGTCAATTAAACGACTCGTAAAACCATCCTGCTAAAATCTGAAAGCTGTTTTAAAACATGGACATGAAAAATATGTTCTAATTCTTCAGATAGTACAGAAAAATCCAAACTGAATATTTCAGGGATGGTGAAACAGTTAGTTGCCATTTTGTTTAATTCATCCTTTGTGTCCAGAGCGACTGAATTTAATGAGGCTGCTACAGAGCATCTTGTTTTGTTCTTGGTTAATTTAGTGTATTTTTATGACACACATTACTCAGCTAAATACATTTCAGCTGCAGCCAAAAAGTATTTGTTGAGAAAATGAGCTGAATAAAAAAAAAAAAATAACTATTGCTATCAATCAGTTACCTTACCTGATAGATTTACATCCTCTGTATGGTCACTTGTAGAGTCTTCATATTTTGTCTCTATCAGGTTTTCTTTAGTCTCTGTAGCACTGAGGACACGGGCCAGTACTTTGGACAAGCCTGGAGGAGCCTGGCTAGTTTCAGCCTGAACACTGCAGGTGGTTTTAGTCACAACTGATGCTGAAAGACTTCTGTGGACCTGCAGACGGGAGTTAGAGAAAAAAAAAATTAGCAATATTTGGAAATATGTTTCCCAAATAACAAGGTGAGACGAGCCTTTATCTCAGACAAAACCTTGGATAAACTTACCTTATCCAGAGCATTCTCCAAACCATGTTTAGAGACAAGAGGCTTTGATTCAGTTACTGGATATAAAGCAGAAGCTCCGGGTGGCAGGAACCGAGGTTTTTTCGCTGCATTACCCAAAAGCTGACTGGGAGCTCCTGAGCGTCGCATTCTTTAGGTGTAAACATAAAATAAAATGTCACAGGGTCACTTAATCTATATGTATTCCATTTCAGATTATTACTATAATTCAGATTAACTTGTAATTTAACAAAGTATTTTTCAAACCTCTTACAGTAAAAAATAAAATACTAAAAGTATTTGGTTTGTTATGATCCATTGTGTAGAGGGAGAAAACATAAGAGAAAAAAAGAGGCTCTTATCATTACTGGTGGTATCTCATAAACCATACATAGAAATCCAAAATAATTATTCAAACGTCAGCAATTCAACAACTGAATTTGCCTTCTCTACAAAACAAGAAGCTGATTAGGTGAGGATATTTTTGTTTGCAAACAGTGAGACATTGTTTCAAGACCCAATCATCCTTACAGAAATGCCAAAAATCTTTAGGTTTCTTGGGTGGGGGTTATCAAAAAAAAAAAAAATAAACCAGCTCTCATCTCTTATTTTTATGCAAACTGGCACAAAAAAATTCTAACCCTAATGTGATTATTCTCTAGTTAACATGTTAATAACCAAACCAGAACAATATGATTGTTTTAGTTGGATTAAAATTCACTATAGTTTACAAACAACTGTATTTTTTATGAAGTAATGCCTTAAAATCGCTTCTCCTTCGTAGTCGCAGGTTGAATCCTTAACCTTTTTATGTTTATCTCCAGGTCATTAGATGAGATCCTCCTTGTAGCTACATAGAGAAAGAAAGAGATGTGCCTTTGCACATTTCATATCAGCAGGATTGATCTGTTGTCATCATGACATAAATTACATCTGTGATTTTTAGGGTGACATTAAAATAACAACCAAGTTAGATGTAAACACAGAGCTGGAAGCCAACTAGATCCTTCAAATACTGTGAGACTGGTAATCACCACAATTACTAAATAGCCTAGCTAGCTTTAAACTAATGCAGGACAAACATTATGATTATTATTTAATTTGATGTAATAAGCTAACTAGTAAAACTGTTAAAAATCCCTCTAAAGAAGTACAGCTCTTGAGCATTTACTGTTAGTGAAACCGAGCAGGATGTTTTCAAACATTTTTGTCATTTTGTAGAAAATTTAAACTGAATCTCAGCTAACTAAAACCTTATTTTTCCCGTCCTGCTCATCAACCTGCTTCTGAGACAGACTAGCAAACAAAAAGTTATAAATCAACACTTAATGAAAAGTGGCGAATGCGATTAAAACATGACGTAAAATTATGTTAGACAACATCTTATACATACCTAGAAGGGATAAATGTCACATAAAAACAAAACGACTCGATTGAACTGAACTTTTACATCAAAACTCTGGACCCGTTTCCGTTTCTCCCGCTGAATTGCGCAAAGAATCTGATTGGTTGAAGAGTTCCGGGAGGGGTGGCCAAAATTCTTCTTCTTCTTAAATTTTTATCCGCGGATGGCAACCAACTTAGGGAGCATTTACCGCCACCTACCCGACTGGAGTGTGATTATCAACGATGTCAGACGGAATAAATTAGCATGTGTGTAAATGCACATGCATACAAACATCTATATTCTTACATTCTTACTTAGATAATCCAGTGTTTATAAAAAATCTAATCAACTGATTTCTTGTAGAATTAAATTTACTTCCTAAAAGGTTTATCATTGAAATTCCAATTTTTTCTCTATTTAGTCTTGACTTTAAGTGCTGACGTTCCTGTGAATATTTATCACATTCTAATGATACATGTTCTACTGTTTACATTTGATTACAGTAATTACAAGTCCATATTTCTATATTTTGAAAAGAGAACTATTAAGTCCAGTATGACCAATTCTAAGTGAAGATATGACTACCTCTTCTTTCCGCCTTCCATTTGAACAACTATTACCCCCCACAGTCTTTTGAATTTTATACAGATCTCTACCAGTGTCATGATTATCCCCTTGTTCCTGTCAAACCTTACAGATTTTATTCTGAATTATAGATTTACCCTCAAAATTGCTTAAAAGAATATTTACGTTAATAATATCTAATTTTAAGGCCTGTTTAGCTAATATATCTACACTTAATTTCCTTCAATCCCTACATGAGCAAGAATCCAGACAAATCGAACCAAACATTTCTTATTATGAAGCTGAACTAATAGGTGATATATATCTAATAATAAATCTAATCTACAAGACTTGCCAGATTTGATACTTAATAATGCAGCTTGACTATCTGATGCAATAATATAACTATTTCCTTCCCTAACACAATCATCAAGCAACCATTCAAAAGCTAGCATAATGGCAATTAATTCAACTGTAAAAACTGCTAGATGATCTGTTCTACTTTTAATCATGACTTTATGGTGTGGGATATTCACAGCTGCTCCTGTTCTGCCTCTATTTGGATCTTTAGATCCATCTGTAAATATAGAAATATCCATCTGTAAATATAAATATAGATATATAATATCCCATTCTGGAGTCTTTCCCTTTTTAATAAACTCCCCCAATTGCAGATCAAATTCTGGTGTGGTAAATAACCATGGTGGAATTGGTGACTCTGGAACCGTGAAGCCAAACTAAAACTGAGTCAAACCAAGATTTTGAGCTTTTATGTCTCCAATCCATCCAAAGCTATTATAATCAGATTTATGATGTTCCCCACAGTCCTGTAGCACAGCCTTAGTTGGATGACATGGCCAAAATTAGTAGGATCTGTTCTGTTTTAAAGTAAGTACAGTAGCAGTTGCACCAAGAGATGGATTCTAACCAGTAAATGTTGGGATTTTATACCAATTTATGTTAAAAGGGTTGAAAATGATTTCTATAAAAAAAAAAAAAAAAAGATTTCGTAGCGTTGTCATCACATCCCTATTTAGTGGACTAGGCTAATTATTTATCATACAACGTAAAGCTACTTCTACTGTAACTTATATTTGTGGTTTATCTAATGAGTTGTTGCTGATGTTAATAGCTGTACATAGGGAGAATCTACTGCAGCGCTTTGTTTACAAAGGATCTGGAGTAGCCTCTGGCTGTAGCTTTTTCCATTGGTCGGAAGCTGAGAATATGTCAATAAGGTACATTTAAAAGACTAAAATATTAATTAGATATAATGGCAGGTCAGCGTTGCAGCTGTAAGCACTTTTACTTTGCAATAAGAACGTCCCTGAATCCCAGCTGAGGCTTTTGCTTTGGGTAGTTTGCATGGTTTACATGAGCACATGGACGCTTTTTCCAACTTTCTTCATACATCCATGTTGGTTTTATAGTTATTCTAAACTGCCTAAATTTGTGTGTTTTTGCACGGTGTGTGCACCTCCACCATTCCAAGTTTTTATTTCTCCATTTCTTGTTGAAAACTTTAAATTATTGAGGAAACAAAGTTAAATTCAGAATAAGGCTGATATCGAAATTTCTACACACAATAAATGGACAATAAGGGACAGCAAATACTGGTACTATATATTTTTTATTTGCTTAATATTCACCAAAATCTTGAAGTGGACGTTTCCAATTCTGATATGTTTTTTGAATAGGTTAAACATGTCTGTGTTTATGCATGTCTAGTAATTTATTGTGAAAAAAATAGCATCAATATCAAATTGTTTTCTGTCATTGAAAGAATCTATGCTGGTAAATGTGTATAATTTACTTTACAGCAAGTTTCTATAATTTCTTAGGACCCTATATTGAAGTACCTGTTAAGATTGTACAGTTACTCGGTTATTGTCAGTGTTTCACTGCTGAGTCTAACTTATGGGACATAAACAGGATGGGTGATCTCTGATCCCTGTCCTTGTGTGTTTTCTGTCATCTGATGTAGTGTACTCTTTAATCCAATCAGGGAGGGAGAGAGTGTAATCCATGTTAATCCCAGGGAGAGACAGAGCGACCTCGGGATGCAGCAGATCATTAAAGAGAGACAGAACCACCAAAGATCTCTAATGGCCATGTCCCAACATGGCTTTAATTCTTAGGCAGTAACTGAGACATTTTGCAGCAGTTTCTCTGTTTCTGTTGCTGTAATTCTGTCTCATCTGATCTCATCTAACAGCTGCCTGGTTGTTGTCAGGGAAACCTCCCCACAGAGACGCACTCTCAAAAGGCAGGGGAGGGCTTTGCAGGAGAAGAGACCCTCACCTGGATCTGGATGGAGTAAGCAGAGGGGATGAAGGTGGAAAGTATGCAGCAAAGAGAAAAGAGGGAAGCTTACCTGTGGAGGTGCATGTAAAGTCCACACCTAAAAAGGAAAGTTAAGGGAAGAGCTGGATGAAGATTAACTTTTCAGGTAGGAGAGCTTTAGAAAAGGAAGGTAGATTGCATTCTAATATGTTTATGTTATCTTTATTTTTTTATTATTATTTTTTGTACTTAATAACATTTATAACCTTTTAAAATCATAGGATGGGCTATGATCTGGATAGGTTTGTGGGCTATGTCAATGAGGGTCTGCTCTGCTGTGTGTGTCGGGACGTGCTGGAACGCCCTCTCCAGGCGCCATGTGAACATGCTTACTGCAGCGCCTGCATCAGCAGCTGGCTGCTCCATCATCACTCCTGTCCTGAAGACAGGCAGCCCCTGGATGTGAGCAGTCTCAGACCACTGTACAGGTGGATCCATGCACCCGCTGACTTCTCACTGTTAAAGCACCTTCATCAGGGATGAATTGCACATATCTGAGGGGTTCTGCTTGTTCAATGGTAGGTACATGCGCAATGACCTGAACCGCCTGCAGATCCGCTGTGTGAATGCAGGACAGGGATGTGAGATGGTCTGCTCCCTGGAGACTGTCCACACACATGAGGATGAGTGCGAGTTTGCCTTTATAGCATGTTCCAACACAGGTAAGAAAACCACTTTCTGAATAAGGCCGGGCATGTCTTAGATATTGAGTGTTTAATTTATGACACTAACTCTAAACTGAAGTTGTATCTTCTTGGGAGGCGTGTGACACAAAGGTAATGTGAAACCATTAGCTGAACAACAGGTGGCTCATCTGTTGTCATGGCTCCATATGGTCATCAAACCCCCTCACAACATATGTCTTGTGCTTGTATATATTTTTTCTATTTTAATGCACTGAAAAGCTGTGCTTTTTAACCCATCATTTAAACCTGACCTGTCATTGTTAGGTGGAGAGTACATTTGCTACCGCTGTGGTACGTAAAGTGATAATTGTGAACATGCAGTGAGGTTTGTTTGTTTTTGCAGTGCTTTTAAAATATACAGTGCACTTTTGTTGCTGAGATATCTGTGAAATGTTGTGATTCTTCAATATAAACATGCATAAAAAAAAAATAAAACTCTACTACTTAAGCAGTTGGAAATCCTAGAACACAGTGTTGATAACTCAAATGTCCATGAATGATTTTTTTCCAGCCACAGGTAAAATATATCTTCTGGTTTTGTTTGTGAAAAGACTTTGTATTTTCTTCTTCTTTCAGTAACTTACAGATCTTTCTTCAACATGATGTTGAAGCGGATCTGTGAAAGTTGAGATGCATTTCTGATTTTCTATTTACATTTACCGGTACTAAAATCTTTTTAAACATTTGTCTTGTCAAGCTGTTTAAAAATACAATACTGTTTTATTAATATTATATATATATGTGTGTGTGTGTGGAGGGGGGTATTGAGATTCTCCCTTTTAGAACAACTAATGAAATAATAGCTTTTAGGATGTTTAGGAGAAACTCAGAAGCCACCACAGTTAAATCCAAGCTGATGCAACCATAAGATTTCTGGAGAAAGATTTATAATGGGGCAAGAAAAAGATTAATCCATTTGGCATCAATGGAAAGAGGAATTAGGGGAATCAAGCAGAGGCTTCCAAACCTTTTACTTCTGTTGTCAGGCATGGTGGAGACAGTGTCATGCTGAGGTGCCATTATTGCCACCCTTGGTAGTGGTAAACAGAGCTAAGTGCATGAAATAAGGAGAGAAGAGGACGCATTCAAACTCTTAAGCTCAGCTCAGATCTAAAGCTAGATCGGACACATTCTGACTCATCTGGTTGTTCCAACTGGACAATAACCCCAAAACAGACAATTAAGCTAATTTTAACTAACTAAAAATGGGAGTTTGCACACTTATGAACAGAAATGTCAGATCTTAAGACCTTGAGACAATAAGTTGTATGTTTTATCTTTCTGTAAACATTGCAAACTGGCCATTAGACAAAAAAAAAATGAAAATGACTAAAAAACAGATTTCAGCTTTTTTTTGTCTTTAGTTTGTCTCTAATCTTTCTTCTGGATTTAAACCAAGTCAAACGTTTAAAACAGCAGAAATCTGCAGATATGTTACACAGTAATCATGCTGCATCTGTGACAGTTCGGTGACCGTCTCCTCTCAGGTTGTCCTGTACAGGTAGAGAGGCGGGCTTTGGAGGCCCACCTGTCCGAATGCAACTACCGCAGCAGAGAGTGTCCCAACGGCTGCGGTCATACGGTCCACGCCACCGAGCAATCACAGCACAATTGTGTAGCAGAGCTGCGCCTGGAGGTGGAGATGATGAGGTTCGTTCACAGAGTGTCCACCAAGCATCCTTGTCTTCTGAATCATTACACATTTGGGATGGTACTGTGTGGTTGCTGGCACACATTTGCAAATAAGAAGGAAATGTTATTTGCAGTGAAAATATAAAAAAGTTGTGACTTTTATTCAGCCCTCTGTAATAATGTACTGAATTTGTACAGAAGGAAATTATTCCTTTTCAAATGCAAAATAGCTTAAGTAAAGAGTGTGAAATTCAAACCTTTAATTATTCTCAGATTCAGAAGTGGATTTGTGTGTGAACTTTGACCAGGTAATTCTTAAATAGGAATATTTCATCTATTGTAGCTCTGGTCATCTCTTTAGAGTTTTCGTCCTGTCAAGATGATGAATCTGCAGCCAAATTTTTGTTTTTTATTGGTGTCTGTCCAGAGCATCCTTCTTCTACATGTTCCCAACATGCTTTCTAAAAAAAAAACAAATCTGCAGTCTTATGGCTTTCTTCTTCCTATCATCTTTTAGGATATATCATCAACTCTTTTAGTTTCTCTCTGACCCGACTGGTTTGCTGCTTGGTCTTCATAGATAAATCTTATGATATTGATACATTTCCTTCATAGGGCAGAGATGCTGTGCAAGGTGGAGGAGGTGAGGCGAGAGATGGAGTCCCGGCTGGACTCCCAGAGGAGACACATGGTGCAAAAAGAGTCGCAGCTGAAGAGTGATGTAGAGGAGCTCAAGGTGAATTTTCACTCCCTAACAGTTGAAGTAATCAAACTACAAAAGTAGACATTTGAAATTCCCCAGTAAAGCATAAGAGGCAGTCTGCAACTGACCATCACAAGATGAGCTTATTTTGGTTATTTGATGTATTTCCAGCTGTCACAGAAAAGCACACGGATCTATCTGATCGGGTTTGTTATTTCTGTAGGGTCAGTTAACCCGTGTGATGAGCGACATGCGAGCCCTGTTAGGAGCAGAGCGTCTGAGGAGACAAGAACTGGCAGAAGCAGAGGTGGAGAAGAGAGAGCTGCTGGAGCTCCTCAGAGACATACAGCCAATGAGGAGTCAGCCTCCCACTGAGCAGGCAGCCAGGGATCAGCCCGTGGGTGACCTGCAGGCTTCCAGCTGGGAAACGCACTCGGATCTACCAAGACACCAGCAGAGAGAGGCGTCGCTGCATGCCTCCTGTCTGTCTCTGCACTCGGCTCAGGTTCCCTGTGCTGCAGGCCCACCTGCTTCCCCCCAGCTTGGGGAGGGAGTCCGTAAGGGCAGCACCCGCAGTCTGACTCTAGACTGCATCAAGAAGAAGAACCGTGAGGTGACGGTCATCTGAATACACCAGAGCTTTAGACTGAAGCATATTTTACAAATTTCTCTAAGCAAAGATTTTGAAATAAAAATAAATACCCTTATATAGTCTACTAGTTCATTCATTTGTTAGGAAAGAAATAAAACAGTTTTCAGCTGACCATATGCTTCCTTTGTTTTTGTACATTGGTGCCTGAAAGGTTTAATATAGAGCAAAACATCCAGCGAACGCATTTCTAACAATTTATATTTAACTTATTAAAAAAACAAAAAGTGAATTGTTTTTTTCAGTTTAAGGCAACCTATTGTAGCTGGCTAAAATGTCTTAAGAAAATTTAAAAAGAAATAAATGATTCATTATGAAATAATGAAAGATGTACTTTAGTTTTTTTTTATACATTTATCTATATCCTGCAATAATATGAGAGACCTCATAAAGAAACAGACATTTAAATGTGGAGATTCAATACTTTGGTTGACAGCAGTTTTTTGTTATTTATCTTTTCATTGTGGGTTTTCAGAGTCTGGGCAGATGAGCTGAAATAGGAGAAGCAGCAAGCTGTGAGCCTGGGGGCGTGGCCTGCATACATAGGAGGAGAGAATTTGATGATCTTTGTGCATCAATAGTTAATATGGTGTACCCATAATCACATTGTGGGATTAGCATTTGACAAAACTCAAAACTTGCCATAAGTGAGATAATTTGTCCAAAGCAGATTGTTCACCTTCACATATAGCCATTTCCCTATAGCCCTTTATATATTTGGCTTCACTAGTGCTGTTAAAAAAAAAAAAAAAAAGTTTTTTACGCTGAGTCCCATACTTCTTTTGTTTACCAACCCTTGAGGATGTTTAACAATCTATTCACACAGTTTTCACTGATTACTAATAGTCCTGAAATGGTATTTTTCTCACTTTCCTTTAAAGTGTAAAAAGTAATATTCATCCATTTTTATTATTATTAAAACACATACTCAGTTACATCCACCCTTTATTATTCTGAGTCAAAACAAAAACAAAATAAAAAAAGTAAACATCTCAACAAAGTCAGTGTGACACCATACCGAGACGTTTCCATAGAGACAGAAAACATGAATCCATATTGGTCCGTTTTGTAGCCCTCTAGAGGCTGAAGTCACTGCCCAGGTGGATTTACCTGGTGAAGGAGCGAACATGTCTGCCCCTCCCACCTCCACTTCCTCCACCACCGCTGAACTTGCTCCCCTGAGATCCCCTTCCTCCTCCTCCTCCCCCTCCACCCGCAGCGCCGGCTCCTCCTCCACCAAGCCACGACAGTCCTGTGCCTCCTCTGCCTCGTGGGAGTCGATCCCGAATGGCCAACCGGTAAGCACCTAAGAGGCAGGACATAGTAGAACAGAATGTTCTTTCTTAGGTCAATGTTCTCCCAAATTTACAGCCCAGAAATATGAGTGATTAATTCAGATTAGATGCATCAAGCTAATTTGGTTAATGGTTACAATAGAGATTGTGAATCTCAGAACAGATTCATTACACACACAAATGTATCAAAGTGTGTTTTACTGATAAATTGAATGATTATGAATTAAAAGATAATAAAAATGTTCAATGTATTTTTAAAACAGAAATCTCAGCTGATTCTATTTACATTCAGCACTTGGTGCAAGTTCTTTACCAAAAGTATTTGGTAAAAAGGTTTCTCAGTTACAGAGTAATGGATCACAACATCTGACTTACTATTTAAATCATGTAATAAGACAGACCAAAAAGTTAAGTTATGAGAAAACTCTGGTATTTTTAAATCTGTAATAAAATAAACAAAAATGTACTTGAAAAATAAGAAATCCAAGAAACTAATCCAACTAAGAGAGACCAATACCTCCAATGAAATATTAACTTCTTACTGCATGTTACCTTCACTTCCAGATATAAAAATATGAGGTAAGCTTGAGTACAAAAAAAAATGTAATTTTATTTAGACATACAGGTGCTGGTCATAAAATTAGAATATCATGAAAAAGTAGATTGATTTCAGTAATTCCATTTAAAAAGTGAAACTTGTATATTATATTCATACATTACATACAAACTCATATATTTCAGATGTTTATTTTGTTTAATTTTGATGATTACAAATGACAACAAATGAAAATCTCAAATTCATCATATCAGAAAATTAGAATATTGTGAAAAGGTTCAAAATTGATGGCCCCTGGTGCCACACTCTAATCAGCTAATTAACTCAAACCACCTGCAAAAGCCTTTAAATGGTCTTTCAGTCTAGTTCTATAGGCTACACAATCATGGGGAAGACTGCTGACTTGACAGTTGTCCAAAAGACGACCATCGACACCTTGCACAAGGAGGGCAAGACACAAAAGGTCATCGCTAAAGAGGCTGGCTGTTCACAGAGCTCAGTGTCCAAGCACATTAATAGAGAGGCGAAGGGAAGGAAAAGATGTGGTCGAAAAAAGTGTACAAGCAAGAGAGATAACCGCACCCTGGAGAGGATTGTGAAACAAAAACCCATTCAAAATGTGGGGGAGATTCACAAAGAGTGGACTGCAGCTGGAGTGAGTGCTTCAAGAACCACCACACACAGACGTATGAAAGACATGGGTTTCTGCTGTCGCATTCCTTGTGTCAAGCCACTCTTGAACCACAGACAGCGTCAGAAGCGTCTTGCCTGGGCTAAAGAGAAACAGGACTGGACTGCTGGTGAGTGGTCCAAAGTCATGTTCTTGATGAAAGTAAATTTTGCATTTCCTTTGGAAATCAAGGCCCCAGAGTCTGGAGGAAAAGAAGAGAGGCACTTCATCCACGTTGCTTGAAGTCCAGTGTAAAGTTTCCACAGTCAGTGATGGTTTGGGGTGCCATGTCATCTGCTGGTGTTGGTCCATTGTGTTTTCTGAGGTCCAGGGTCAACGCAGCCACATACCAGGAAGTTTTAGAGAAACTTCATGCTTCCTGCAGGTGACCACTACTTTCTTGTGAGATATGCATATTTTTCATTTTAAAACACATACAGTTACATCCCCTTTATATCTGAGTCCAAAACAAACAATAACAAAGTAAACATCTCAAGTCAGTGTGACACCATCGAGATCCGTTCTTCATTGAGACAGAAAACATGATCCATATTGGTCCGTTTGAAGCCCTCTAGAGCTGAAAGTCTACTGCAGGTGGATTTACTGGTGAAGGAGCGAAATGTCATGCCCCTCACCTCCACTTCCTCACACGCTGAACTTGCTCCATGAGATCCTCTCCTCTCCTCCCTCACCGCAGCGACCTGGCTCGCTCCACCAACACGACATCCTGGCTGCCACCTGCCTCGTGGAGTCGATCCGATGCCACGACCGGTAATGCCTAGAGGCAGGACATAGTAAACAGAATGTTCCATTTCTTAGGTCATGGTCTCCCAAATTTACAGCAGAAATATGAGTGTATTCAGATTAGATGCTCAGTATTTGGTTAATGTTACATAGAGATGTGAATTCCAGATGATTCTTACAACACAATTAATTGTTTCTTGTCTAAAGCACTGTCTAAAAACAAGCTAAAAAGGTTAGTTTACCGACGCCGGATGCAGTAGCAAAACATTTTACTCAAAAAAGAGCAGCAAGATTTTATTAAGATATAAGATATGTAGTAAAACTCGTAAAAGTAGACTTGTGTCGAGAGGTTGTGTGACCCTCCCTATTAAAGGCCCCAGATGTAGGCTATAAGAAGGTCAGAGCAATGCTGCTTTAAGAATCCTCTTTTTATCTGATATTTCCCCTTTTCACAATTTATCAAACTGAAGTCGGCATTACATTATTGGTGTCAGATGCAACACTCTGTAAGCTAATTTTACATTTAGCCACCCAGATGGATTGTCACCACCTGAACTGCTTGCATGATAGAGTTTACTAGCTGAGATCCTTAAAATCACTAAATGTGAATTAAAAGGGGGTCAATGGTGTCACTGGAATATGCAGTAATATCTTTGTAATGGCTTACATTAAGCAGTCTTTCTAATATTTTCCATGAGTCTGGAAACATCTGAGCATGTTCAATCTATATAAGAAGTTTCACTTTTTGAATTGAACTACTGAAATAAATTAACTTTAGGATGCTGATGCTTAGCGAAGATGTTCTAGTATATGCATGTTTGCGGTGAACGTACTTGCAGGCGGCTGTCGGGATGGCAGAGGCCCGCGGGCGAAGTTGCTCTGTCCCCCACGGGGTTCACTGTAGGTTCCTCTGTGGGTCACAGTGGGAACTTGGCCGCTCCATGATGACCCACGGCCTCCCTCTCTTCGAGCATAGTTACCTGCAGCACCAAAAATCTTTGTTACCCTCTGCTGGCCAGCAAAGGAAGCACAACTTTCAATGTTGAAAATAAACACGTCACCTGATAGCAGGACACCTTTGGGCTGCAGTGGAGTGAAAAAGCGGGTTTGGCTGTGAAAAGCTGCCCTGCCTCTGTTACCAGGGAACAGTCCCCTCGTGGGGGGCTTGGGTGTGTTTTTGGGCAGACGTTTAGGAGGAAGAATTCCAAGTGGGTTACCAATGTCTTTAAACTCTGCTGCCACAAAGTCATCCACATGCATGCTGGGAGGACGGGAAGTGTTCTGCTTGCGCTGGCGGAAAATATCATGGGGTCGGGCGATGTTCTGTCCAAACCCACCTCGACCTCCACGGCCACGGGGTGCTGGCAGGATGTGGGCTCTTTTAGCAGGTTCGATGTAGTCGGACTTACCGCTGCAGGAAGAAGCACAAAAACAAAGGTTATGTTTTAGCCTCCTGTAAAGTTTTTACTGTAAAAGGTGAAGCTAGCGTTGCACTGCACCTGGATGTGATGAATGTCTCGTGTTTGTGTTTGCCCAGGCGGAATCCTTTGGACGTCTTTGTGTGACCGGGAGAGGTTGGCTCCGATAGAAAGGAGCGCTCCAGCTCAGCCTTCAGGTCCAGTTCTGGACAGCACTCCTGAGCCAAGCCTACCAGATCCACCTTCACCTAAACCAGCGTTTGGAGAAAGAGACAAATAAAAGCAGACCAAAACTTAATCTGTGCCTAAAGATGAAATCTTTGAACCAAAAGTGGAGCCTTATAAAACACTTACCATGTCCAGGTCAGGTTCTATTTCATCGCTTTGGAAAGGAGAGAACCACAGAGCTTTAAGTTGTTCATCCAGAGCTT